TAGACTCTTCCCTGAGGATATTGCGGGGGATGGGGGGGTTTCTCCTCGTGTTCCGTTTTCCATAGGCTCTTCCCTGAGGGTATTGCGGGGCGGGGGGTGGCTCTTGGGACAATCGGTGGTTCCGGGCAGGGGGGAAGTAGCGGATCTGGTATAAACGCGGGGATCCAGCCCGGGGTGCTGGGCGCTTCGCGGGGTGTTTGGTGTCGCCCCAATCTGCGCGGGGTCCATGTGTTCGGCTGAGAACAAAACCCAGGAAACTTGTTCCCTTGTCGCCCTCGTGCTTACGGGCTCTGGACACGTCTTTGCTGTAAAACTCCTCTGCAAAGTGAGAGGCGAGAGCTGAATCGAGGCAGAGCGAAGGTTGCGGTGCAGGGAGCTCCCTCCTGCAGGTCTCGGGGCGCCCCAGTCCCAGCAAGTTGCTGCCCTCGATGCCGTGATCGATGCGCTGCCAGAAGGTCTTGCCGCGTGGCTGCCATGATCCCCCCTTAGCATGAAGATTTGTGAAAAATCGACTTGTGGTTCTATCTTCCTTTGCTTTGGCCCTTCGTCCCATAGCGTTCGGCATAGCAGGGAGAATCTGTTTGCACTTGTCAAGATCAGGAAGGGATCGCTGAGCTCCTGCTGCCTCCACTGGTGCGTTGTGTTTGGTGTTTTGCAGGGTGGAAACACTACAGTAATGCTCTGTCCGCCTTTGGGTACCTTGTAGTGAAAAAAAGCACTAAAGAACACTCCTTTGTGTTGTTCAGAAATGTAACATGAAATATTTTTGGTGAAGAATTTACTGAATCTTTTTGTGCTGAATAAGCGTTTGTTTTGTAGTTTCTGAAACTTGCTTTTTATGGTACTAAAAACTCATTATAGTTTGACCTTTTACTACATAATACTGTGAAAAAAATCTTTTCCTAGAATGACTGGTTGGCACATCCTACTAATCTTTAGGCAGTTTCTTTAAATCCACTAGAAGTGTACAAGTTTAATACTCCGTTTTTGTAGTAAGTGCATTATGTATTTGTTGTGTAAATCACTTTCTCCCTCCAAAAGTCATTGGTACAAAGACTCTTCCATGGCTCTGTCCTCAAGCTCCCTGGAAACGCTTTTCCTTTCGCAATGTCGTTAACTGGGCCCTGACCCGTAGGGCAGGGGGACTCTCAGTGCGGGTTTCTTGCAGAATAAACCTTAGTTTGCGAGCATTAAGCTTAAATATGTTAAGTTGCGTGCGTGCCTTGTTCTAGTGAGTATAACTATGGGTTTGTTTACAGCAAACAATATTGAATAGTAGTGTTTTATTAAAAAAGGCAGTTGTGGTTCATGCTGAATTAATTAACACTGCTCAGATAAGAATGTTTGAGTCTTTTTTTTTTCTTTTCCTTCCCTGTTGCGGCTTCGTTTGGGTTTGCTAACCCACTGTGTTAATGTTGTTGCCAGGCTTCCTGA